TGTAAGTCTTCCTTGTAAAAGTGAACTCAAATATGCCCTGTTTCGGAATTGCAAAGTGTTTTAAGTAGACTGACTAGAATTTACTAGAATTTTTCATTGCAATTTAAAAATTACAAAACTACATTTTTTTAAATTTAGTGTAAACAGTACAATACACAATAACAATAAATTAACTTTGACGAGCTTGTTATTGGTAAAGCCACGATAATATTTGTTTGTGTTTCTTAGAAAATCTGCTTTATTTATATGTTTTGGCACGGAAAACTGTACGCTTGCAATAGAATCCGTTTTCAATGCAAAGCAGTATTCAGATAATAGCATACTAAATGCTCTGGGATAAATTGGCACCAGCGAATAAGTTTTCTGTTACTTCAGAAGCTGCGCACATATTTGTCCGAGATATTGAATTATTACTGTTCGCCTTGAGGATAACGTAATTCTCTTTTGTGCTTCAGTTCATTTTTCACTAAAGCTTTTTCGATATTGGCAACTGTAACAAGGTCGTGATGATGCATGATTAGCGGAACTTTCCTGTCGAGAGAAACTCAACATCAATATGATGCAGAAAGTCGAGGTTTAGTAATGGAGTTTATTTCGTTTCTTAGGTGGGTGGTAAGTTTCATATTCGCAAGGCCGAAGCTAAGGAGAAGTGTTTAATTAATTAATTGAGAAAGTCGAGTGTGCATTCTTCTTTTCAGGAGATTTATACATAAACTCTAAATTTGTAATATAAGTTTCAATCCAAAAAATTATCCGCCTCTTGTTTAACAGGGTTGCGCAAAAAAATTAAAACTTTTTTGCCAATTGTCAAATGGCTTTAATTGATGAACAACTTTGATTTACATAAAAAAATATGCTTTTTAGAAAAATCGTTATTAACATGATCTTCTGTTGCTTATTGAGTCACCCTACATATTCAGCTTGCAAAAGCTCATAGAATAGGAGAGAGCTCACAGCTTTGGCCCTGGAACTTTCGTTCTTCATAGGAATTACCTACTCTATTTTAGCTTTTTTTTCGTTTTTGAGCTTATTGTTTGACGGGCTTGATGTCGAACGTCTAAAAATTTAAATAATACACGAAAAATCAACACACCTGCACATTTAATTAAATGGGGAAATAGAGTGAATTTTGAATTTTAACATTGTTCCAAAATAGTGTCTTATTTTAAACATCATTATCATCTAAAAAAATTACACACAAAAAACACGCTGATCAAAGCTGAAACCTGCGTTTCTCAATCCAATTGTCCGGACTTTATCTTGCTTAGAGTTGCTTTCTATCAGACTTCTGTATTTTTTATTGCCGGTTTCTAATCTTGCCATTAAAAAAATGTGTATACTTATTGTCTCTTTATATAATTGTTGAAAGTAATTTCGATTCAGCCGTGGCCAGGTATAATTTAAAAATGAAGTCACAAAGAAGATCTCAATTTTTTCATCATCTGATCGCTGAACTGTGATTAAAACATTTTATCATTCCCATTCAACAAAGCTGAAAATAGACCTAAATTATTGACTGACCTATAAACAGGATTAGCCGTTATTTTCACATTTTTGGAGAAAAATGATCTGTCTGAAGAATATAAATGGTAATATTTAGGGATAAAATTAAACTTATTCACACTGAACGTGCTTTTCTCCACTCGCTCGAAGTAAAAGACGCGCCTATTTGTATTCATTCAAGTATGTGCCAACGAGCAGAGCAGACGCGCTTTTATGTAATTTTTGGTCCATTTGAGTTCTGCTGTTTATTCCAGTCTAACAATTTCTGCCTTCCTGATGAATATTTAATATTTTCCCATTAGAATAAACAAATCAGGACCAACCGTGAGGTATAAATTTTGCAAACCACTTAATTATATCGTTTTATTTTTTTCTGTTTCTTAGTGTTCACATTTGAAAGTAACGAAAGTGAAAAGCTGAGATTACTGAAAAATTTAAATTGCAAACAATTGCTGAAAAAGATAGAATTGAATTTACTTAAAGGGCATTAAACGCTAATTTGTTAGTTAGTAATAAAGAATTTGTTAATTTGATTCCTCGTGTGACTATGGCTTCATTAACGCATTCATACATATACATGATTCATAATTATAAACTGCAGCGTAAGCAAAACATTATGTGACACAATATTTACGAAGAATGAGGCTATTTTTGCGCATAACATGGGGCGAGGGTTATGTTTAACCATTAATAAATTCGCATTCTCATAACGTATGTGTGTTGAGCGCATATGTCGAATACAGAACAAACGCTAAGCTTTCATGGCATTTTCATATGTTTAATAAAGTTTTTTATCCTGGTTGATATACTCTTCATGCAAGGCTCTTCGGGCAGTTTAAAAGGCACAATTTTTATGTGTATTCATCTTTTGATAAGCTATAAATACAAATAACTTAACGACTGAATAATTGAAGATAATAAATAATGCTGTAAAAATATTGGTACTTATTGCAAGCTTTTAGCTGCAAGTCATTATTCTTATCAAATCAGATTTTGTAAAATCTTCAAAATATTTATTATTATTACTTTATTTCAGCGACATGATTTATTACTTTTGATTTACCTTATTCAAATCGTTTATATGAGTTTGTTAGTTTTAAGGCAAAAACATCCTTTATGAATTATAAAATAATCATGTTTGTTCAGCTATCTCCACTTTAAAACACAATATTCAGTGCGCGAAGCTGTACAGAAATCAGTAAATTGGCTTAAATTGAACATATACATATAATAGTACATTACATACCTAGGTCGAGAAGTGAGCTATTATATCCCGAGCACTTTACCTAAGACGTATCTACCCCTTTTGGCTCAAATCAAGAAAAATAATTTTGTCGATCTTGAGAATGAAAGGAAAATTATCTTTTTTATCTCCTGTAGATAAGTAGACAGTTTCGCCGCTGTTTTCGATTGCGAAAGAATCACTTTTACTCATTATAATAGCATGACAATGACAATTTACTTCTCCGCCCATTATTCGTAGTAGCTAGTACATAGGTAGTAGTCCTATATTCCGCCACTTCCGCGTACCGTATACCCATCATTTTTCTTGATCCTCGGTGGAAACTAGACGGGAATAGTTAGGTTTTGTTATTTTCAGTTAGTTTAGTTAGTTATTTTAGTTAGTTAGTTTAGTTTAGTTAGTATGGTTAGTTAGTTATTAGAAAAGGTTTTGAAAAAAAAAGGCTTTGAAAATGTTGTCAGTACAGTCAGCTGACAGTCAGTGACAAACAGTCAAGCTGTTAGCGTGCGTGGCAAAAGTTATTACACACGGAAGAATGAAAATTTGTATTGGTAAAAGTAATGCTTTTGACATCGAAAACAGTGGCGAAATTACTCACTTTCCACCAGGGGATAAAGAAAATTGAATTGAATAATGGGCGGAACTAAATGGCGAACATGTGTATTTTCCAGCAGGGGGTCAAGAAAATTAAATTCTTGATTGTCAGTGGAAACTAGCCGGAAAAAGTATAAGGTTTTGAAAAAAACGCCTTTGAAAATGTTGTCAAAACAGTTAGCTGACAGTCAGTGTCAAAGTCAAGCTGTCAGCATGCGTGGCGAAAGTTATTACCTTCCACACGGGATGAAGTAGAGAAAGATGATGATGATAAATGGTATACGGTACGCGAGAAACAAAGAGAAGAAAGCCGAAGGTCCGCCACTGCGTGCATGACGCCCTTGGTTCGCCTCAGGCGTCAACTTTAAGCAGTGGCGAAACTTCCACTTTTGTCTCTTGTACCATAATATACTATTCCATATGTGATTTTTGAGTTGGAATTTTGGATTAAAATTGATGAGCTTTGATCAATATTTTGACTTGTAAAAGTGCAAGAGTGCAAGAGTGCAGAGTTTGCCTTCTTTGTCATGAAACGTAATTCTACTTTGAAACTTTCGGTTTATTGATAATTAATTTAACCATTTTCAGGTACAATAGTCGATAAAAATTAAGATACAAAATTGGAATATTTGAGGAATTGAAAATATTTTTATAAACCTTCTAACGCAACACAAGTTTGTAACAGTATATAATGCAGAATGTGCGACTTATTTTAAGGGAATGAAAATGTTTCATTATTTGAATGCAATAATTTTCCAAAAACAAAAAAAATACGACTTATCACGATCGCTTATAAATTGAACTAATAATAAAATATTAAAATAAAACTATTTAATAAAAGGGCAAAGTTAATGCCAAGCTCCAGCAGTAACTCAACGTTGGAACGATCTGTACTTAATGGAAACAAATAATCAAAATTCTTCCGAAAACATATTTTTTAGATTTCTTACATCAAAGGTTAAACATATTTTAATCGACTATATCGCAATATTCGTATGGTTGCAAAATACACATTTGCGGAAGCCTGATAAGAACTTTGATACAAATTTGAATCAAACGACCGCAGAGCGAATATAAAAAGGCACTTCAAGGAAAGTTCTATATGTCCTTAATTCATATTTTCATTCCAAGGCAAGGTGGCATCTTGCAACATTATTTTTAGATTAATTAGTAGCCATAGAAATACTATTTAAATTGGACGAAAATAATGGTATTTCAGCAAGAATTGATGCGCGTTAAAACAAAATATGAATATATTTATAACACATGCATGTATGATAACCATTTCCTTATTAATATGCAGTAGTTCTAATTGCGTTAAGGCGTTACTGCCTTTTGTTGCCACCTAATCTCATAATTTAATTTCTTTCTTTATAACCCTCCGAGCAATGGTAAACCGCGATTCCTTTCCGAGCTACAAAAACGTTTAATAGTAAGTTTAGACATTAGTCTGCTTTAATACAACTTACCGCTAACTTAATCGAGCCATATTATTTAATGTCCTGTTGAATAGTCTGGGGATGGCTTTTTACTGTAGGCAATTAAACGTTTTCTTGTCTCGATTAAACTGAGGCAGGTGCCAACATTCGTATTAAACATTTTCAGTTAGGGGTATTTGAGATTGAAAATATTTGTTAAAATAGTGGTTTTTCAGACTCACATAAGACACCATGGGTAAGTTCCAGGCAGCAGCTACCAGAGCTTCAGGATAACAAGTGTCATCAGGACCAATGAAAGCTATGGCTCCACTATCCCTCATTTCCGTCATCATTCTGATTGCTTGCGTGGTGGATGACTTACTTTTTGGAAAACCCGATGCAGACGCAATTCCAATGTTGGCTGCTATGTATGTCAGCTTTTTCCCAGGTAGCAAGCCTAGAAAGTAGGAAGCCAGGCAATATCAAGTCAGGTAAGTAGCGTTTCTGATATGTGTTTGCAAAGTATAAGTTTGCCGTTTAACTTCATGAATTTGAGAATAAAACATATCTCGTTTCCAGTGTAGGTATTTTCTTACTAATTGTATACTTTTTACGCATTAAGTTTTGTATATCTCTCTAAGAGGTTGTAAAATAAATAAGAAATGTTGCCGTGAAGAATTGAACAGTAAAGACAAAAAGTCGCATGTTCCAGCGTTTAAAAAAAAATAGATAAATAACAATTTTTTAAAGATTAATTTATATTATATTTTATTATTTCATGCAGGGAATCAGTAATGCATGCATTACATGAGTAACTGAGACAGAGAGTGAGACAGTTTTACTGATTGTTTATGAGCCGCAATTTCACATCGAATTTAAAGAGGAATTTACATTGCAAATGCTAAGAAATCAAGAGATAATTGCTGAAGTAGTGGACAAATCGAACATCTGAATTAAGGATGTGAATTTCATGAACCATTAGACATTTTCATTCGAAAACATATTTCGAAGACAATCCATGTTTCCCAAATTAAATTCAATATGCTTTTTTCGCTGTTTAGTGCTTTGGCATTAAATTGCCACAACACTTCTATTAATTGATATAGCCGAGCTGTTTTTCAATAACATTTTTTTCTAGTCTCAAATCAGAATAATAAGGCCATGTTTTTAGGTGAAGCGCGATGTTTCGGCGAATTTGGCATCTGAAAAATACGTTATCGAAAAAAGTAACTAAGCTTACTGAAACATGAAAAATACACTTTTTATTCCATTTGAAAGGGTATTGCTTCAACGTCTGTCTTTAGTGTGTATTGTTTTAGATCCAATAAACGATGTTTAAAACACAAATAATGCGTGCTATATAACTTGCTCGTGGGCACATTCGATTTCATCAGGAGCGATTCAAACCTTTCGTTATTCAAATAATTCAGCTAAGTAACATTATCCAAGTGTTTGATAAACTGAGTCAATATGTTAAATTATACAAATTGCTGACAAGCGCTTTAATCGAATCATTTGAATTTAACATCTGAAAACTGCTCTAGTCGATTCTCCGTTAACCGGGTTAGTTTGTCGAAATTAGAGTGCCTTTAGGAAAGTTACGTGACCAACTTTTAATATTGTTATTAATACGTCCATGTTTTTATTCGCGTTTAGCAAACAAGCTAACCAAACATTTAAAACACATAATTCCTTTTACTAAAAAATACTTTGTAGGAATGTTCACACACATTTGAAATTTCGTATTGCTTGAATATTTTGATTACGTTTCCCGTCGATGAAGAATTCGCAAACTAATCGACATAAATGGGATTGAAGTATACACTTTTTTGCATGTCTCGAGGACAGAAATTTGTGTAAAATAATTTTGAAGGGAACATAAAAATTATTGAAGTACTTTTCAATGTTTCAATTTTAAGTCATCAGTTGTTATTTAGTTATATCCACGCCATAAATGGAAACCACGAACGCAGCAGCGCATTTGAAGACTTTTGTTGGTAAAGCATTTTTCTATCTAGTCTATAAGTACTCTAAATTCTCTGTCAGGCCTTCAGCACGCGAAATCTTGTACGTCAAAATAAAACTTTGGTTTTTAAAAATAAAATTTTCATTTGAAAATCTATATTTGGCGCAGTCGGTAGGGTTGGATTGGTGCGGCGTGATCAACCACTTTCTGAATCGTTCAGTAAAAATCGGATATAACGTGATTAGTCGAATCGTGCGGCGAAAATCAATTTTGTGCTCTGGTTAAGTGACCCAAATCTTTGGACAGGACGTCTTGTGTTTCAACACTTCAGCACTATCAACACCTTGCAAATTGATCAACAAAACGTCCCAAGAGAATTGAGAAAGGAAGAATACTGTAAGTGCTTGCTTTTCCTTTCTAACCCATCTTTCATTCATCAGCATTTCAAGCTATAAACGAAATAACGGTCGAAGCAAGCGAAATGGCACAACCTGAAACAAAAATAAATTCGGATTCACTAAAAAGTAAACTAGACAACATCAAACCTTACGATGGAGACGTAAATAGTTTGAACAAACTCGTAAAAAGATGTGAAAATGTAATAGCCACTAACTAATATCGCGAATTCAATGATTCCGATCTAGACCAGCACCTCTATGAGTGTGTTGAAGAAAAATTAATTGGTAGAGCAGAATCTATGGTAGGCAATAGAGCTGAACTATATAGCTGACCTAAACTAAAACAAGCCCTGTTACAATGCTTTGCTGATTGTAGAGGCTTAGACTGTTTAGCTCAAGAACTCACTATAATGCGTCCAAACAAAAATGAACACTTAATTGACTTTGGAAGCCGTTTACAGCTAATCAGAAATAACGTAGTCCAAGGAATGAGTAACGATCTAAACATCTGTACTAACGAAAAGTTATGCCATATAAACTACTATGATGAAACAACACTTTCATTCCAGGATGCACTAACTAGTGTGCTTAAAAACAATATGTACATCAAGAAGCCTAAATCTCTAGAAGATGCTATTCGAAAATTTTAAAAAGCTATGCGATAACTTTTAAGATCCAAACAGAAATTTCAAAAATTTTCCATTCCAACAAAGAACAAACAATTCCCAAGCTTTTCAAAATCGAAAACCAAACTTTAACCATCATCAAAATCTCTTTGCAACCAAAACAGTCCTCCAAACTTTTTTGGACAAAACCACAATAACCCTCCAAAAGCCAACTTTCTTTGTCAACCAGTTCATGCTTAACCCAGAGAACTACCCCCAAAAAGATACACAACGAACAGAGAAGTCTTCGGTCGTCCTCAAAATGTTTTCCTACCGAAACACACACCGCAACACTTGTTGCTAAGCAGTTCCAATGTCTGGAATATCGAGAAACTCTTCCATTCAACGCCCTATTAACCAGAATTTTCAAACTCAAAACCCAGCTCGAAACTTTTTTAATCAAAACTATTTCAGGTCACAACCCGGTTTTACAGGAACTTTTTAGTAATGAATATTATGACGAAAATTCTACACCCAAAAATAACTGTAATTACGCTGATAACTATTATCATGATTACCAACTACCCTATGACGACAATCAATTATCTAATTTAATTTCTGAGGAAAACAGTTCAGGAAACTTCTCCCAAATTCAGGAAATTCCAGAAGATAATAAAGGATATTCTGAAAATTTTCAGTCAAAAGCCCAACAGGAAAAGCATCCCTAGTAGAAATTAACATTTTCTCTACAAACGCCATTCCCTATGTTGAAATCGAAAATTCTAAACTGAAACTTCTTATAGGCACCGGAAGTTGACGATCCATTCTCAACCCCTAAATTTCAGAAAAGTATTTCCCAACCCAAATATATCACACAATCAGCACTATCAAAACCGCAATTGGTAGCAAAAATACACATTTTGAAGCCGAAAATACCACATTCCCAGCATTTTGTTCCAACAGCAATATGAGCTTCATTCTTTTTAACTTTCATGATTTTTTTGACGGAGTTTTAGGATTAACCGATCTAACAAAAATTAAGTTCAATATCGATCTAATGAACAAAAACTTGTAGGTCAAAACACCAGCATTCCATTCAAGTACGAACACGAAATGACGTAAATTTTTCAATAACTCTAAACCCCCATGAAAGGTCTATAAAGAACGTACCCGTAAATATACTTAAAGGCGAAATTCTAACGAAACCATAAAAAATAAATAACAAACTCTTTGTTCCACAAATTTTAACACAAGCTTTAGAAGGATATGCTCCTATTGAAATGCAAAACAACAGCGATGAATTTGTATATTTCACATTGAATGAACCGTTTCCAGTCGACCCTTTTGAAACCAATCAACACGAGTTGTACACTTTTGGAAATGTAATTCAAAATTTCCAAAATTTTACCAATGAGAAAAATCTAAATGTTGGAAATCTTCTTCGAACGAACCACATGAATTCCGAAGAAAATCAGCAATTCTCAAACTGTGCAAAAACTTCTGATATCCTTCACAAAACAAATGACCCATTAACTTTCACCTCAAAGGTAAAACACATAATTAGGGCATCGGATGATATTCCCATACACACAAAGTCGTACAGATACCCATATAAGGAAGAAGTGCAACACCAAATTGACCGAAATTCCTGAAAAAGGCATAATCAGTCCGTTATGGAGCATCACTGGTCATCACCCATCTGGATAGTACCAAAAAAAATTGATGCTTCCGAAAAGAAAAAATGGAGATTGGTAGTAGACTACCTAAAACTCAACCAAATTTGCAACGATGATCGCTATCCCATTCCGAGCATATAACACATCCTAGACAAATTAGGCAGAGCGCAGTACTTTTCAACCCTTGATTTAGCAAGCGGTAGTTGTATGCATTAACTTTGTACACCTCTGGTATATAGTTAGCTTAGTTAGTTGCAATCTCAGTACCTATATATTTGCTGATTGTGCTTTTATTGCTTAGCTTCGCAATTGTATGACTTAGCTTTATGATTCTGTTCCAGACTTTTGTTGTGGTCAGACCTTTATATCAGTTGCTCTAAATAAAATTGTATTTTTTAAAAACAGTTTTATAGGGTGTTGATTCCTAATTCGGTTTTTATCAAATAGCGATGGAAAAAAATCAATTGCAAAAACAGTTTTCAACGTAAAAAATGGACACTTTGATTACCTAAGAATGCCCTTTGGATTGAAAAATGCACCCGCTACTTTTCAACGCATAATGGATGAAGTATTGAAGAAAGTGCAAAATAAAATGGGCATGGTTTTCATGGATGACATTATTATCTTCAGCACTAGTTTTCAAAAGTATGTTCAAAATTTGCGATTTGTATTTTCAAAATTAAGAGAAGCAAACTTAAAAATTCAACTTGACAAATGCGAACTATTAGAAGGAAAAGTCCATGGTCATCTGGTCACACCTGAAGGAATCAGACCCAACAACAATAAAATAACTGCAATACAAAACTACCCTA